AAATGCGTTGGCTTGAATGTGATCGATGATATTTTCTTTCACGGTTGGGATGAATGTGGCGACATCGGTGAAGGCATCTTGATTCTTGTTTAGGTGTCCTCTTCCCCTTATTGTTGTAAGGATTACAACGCTTGTCTTGTGAGCGCAATTGGTTGGGTATTGATAAAGAACTAAGGAGGTGACAGCTTGCTTTGTTGAGGTTGATTAAATGAGAAAATTTTGTATTTTTTGTGCGCTCAGAAATCAACAAGCCCAAAAAGGTTCTCTGACAGGAAACATACTATACAATATGGACATGTATCGAAAGAGGAGGGAAAACCCTTTCCGACTGATGGATTCTCTAATTCTGATTGGTGCTTTCTGCTGAGTTTACAAGCAAGCAAAGTTAGCAAAAAACTGGCGCGTTTTATGTACTCATAACCTGTTAGAAATTGATAGTCTTAATTCGAACCCAAATAAGTACTTACGGTACTTAACTATTATTATACCATGTTATGGTACATACATAACTCAACTTGGGTATCAGAAGTACAACACGAAAAAAAGTTTCCCGCAGGGAAAGAACGTTAAAACATTTAAATGTTCGGATTGGCGATTTCTAGAGTTTTTGTTTTTCCCCCTACCTTTTAACGTCTGGTGTCCGTGTAAATCCTAATGAAGCATCACGCTTTGTCATCCGGCGCGCATGCTTTCCAATTCAATATTAAAATATATACTTATGCATACATAGATAAATGTTCGTTTTGTTGAGCTTCCTCGTCTCGCCCAAGTCCTCACAAAATGGAAGACGATCAGGAGCAAAATAATTTTATCTCTGGAGTCATCATCGTTTCACCTGGTGCATCAAGCTTGCACTCGTAACTACTATAAAAACCTGTAAATTTGATTGTCAGGATTTAGCACGATGACACGACTTCGAAATGTTCTACAGAGCAGAGCTGACCGGTTCAGGAAAAAACAAGAGAAGAATGCGTTGCATCAGAAGGAAGAAAATCGATTGATTGGTTCTAAATACTACGATGACGAAACACAGCTCACCGGAGAGTGCATCAGACCACAGGTGGAACCAGATGGAGTGGAGCCAGATGGAGTCAGCGAAGGTGACATGTACTTACTACAGGCCAAAGGCACTCGTGGAACTATGGCCGAAACATTTTCTTCCAGCGAGGAGGAAAATAGAGCTTTTTCGGAGTACAATGAAAATGAAAGGTTCTCCAGAAACCAAAAAATTACGATGTACTCCGAACAAGATCAATACTATCCTGAAAACAATAGGCAATATGACAATCCTGCATACGAAGAGGTCGAGAATGAATACGAGACTTCGAATGGCGTCGAAGTTGTCAACCTAGCACGAGGATCGGCAAGAAGTGGACGCGCTGGTGTCGACGAAGTAGAAAATAGTGAACAACCCAAAACTATTGAATTTGTTGATAGTGAGGATGGTAAGGTATTTGAGATCCCACAGCAAGAAGCTGGGTGTAATGATGGCCTGTTACAGAATGTCAGAAGCTTGGACGATACGTACAACGACGAATGCTCAAAAACACTAAATACAAACGACGAAACGCTACAGGATCCTTATACATCAAACATGGAAGGGATTGATCACATGAATTCGTCTGATCGGTTTGGCAGCTTGCAAGTACAGGTCGAAGACGATGAACGATATGAAGAATACGATCAAGGAGATAGTGCCCCTGAGAATATTGGCTACGAACAAGAACACTACGCTCACCACGACAATACCGAGCTCTATGACTGTGACGACGGGCAAATGTACGATCCTGCTCAAGTAGACAGTAACGTAGGTCAGCCGTACCAGTTGGAACGAGATGGAACCTTCTTCGAACAGATGCGCTCGGTACAATCCCGCGGCCATTTGGAAATGGAACCAGAAAACTGGGAGTCGACGGCGCACGATATTCCTTTGAACAATCCTACTAGCGCATATCTCAATAGACCAAACGATGTTCCAGCTTCGCCGCAGCTCGAAGATCCGTACTTCTCCGATGGCAATTCTTCGTGGGAGGAGGGTAGTTTTGCTACTGGTGCGTCCCGAACACTGAGTCGAGTTGATACTGCCTGTGATGACGACGACGACGATGTCCGCAATGATGACGATGCGCGTACGTTCGATGGAACATTTGATGGAACGGAGTACTATTCCGACGACGATTCATATGCAGAGAAACAAGTTGATCGACCATTCGTTCGTATCTTGAAGAAATTTAGGGACATGAATGTAGTTGATGAACAATCAGACTATGAAAGTGGAGACGAAGGAGACGAAGAAGATTACGAGGACAGCAAAAAGAGAAGCAGACGACGCAAGCCTAAGTCTGCTTTTGATCGACTCGGTGCAATAGGGATGAACATCTTAAATGAAACCATCGACTATGCTGAAAGACAAGACAGAGCTCCCAAACTTGAAGGCGGTACGATAATCAATTCATTCGCTGACCTTTTCTCTTGCGGTGCACCTTCTGGATATTAGTATCAGTCTTGTTGAGAATTCCGTTCAATGTTCGAGGGAAAGTCCCCTCCTTGCTGCCTGTGATATGCCTTAAATGATTTTAATTCATTATTATTTATTTAGTAACGAATAATTTTACAAAAAGTACAACGTTTCTCGGGTTTTTTTTTTAAAATGTGATAATACGATCGAACACAAACTATGGAACACGATGATGAATGAAACTTAGATTCTGTTTCATCTCCTCCGATCAAATGTTCTCGACATCTGGCGCCGAAGCTGACGATTAAGATTCCCTCCTCGCAACAAATATTGTGTCTGGTTGACAATGAAGACAGCCGTTCTTGCTTCGTATAGCTGTCATCGCCAAGTAAACTTGGGTTAGTGTCGTCAACATATTATTTTTCTCAGAGTTTAATACACGTTGGCTTGGGTTGTGGTGCGATGTTCTTTGAAGAGAACCGTCTTCGCATGAGGTACGATCACGAGAATAGATCACAATCCCGTACAGCATTTTGAAAATCAATGATTTTATATGATGGATGGGATTCTGAGAACGTGGTGGCATCGAAATACAGTATTGCTAAACAATACTGTGATACTCATTAGTTTTCTGTTTCGAATAATCGTCACTCATCCACCCTGGATATATTTTTTTAGGTTTCTTCTTCGAATGCGATGCTATTAGAAGCTGTGACAAGGTTTCTTCCTCATCATCACTCCTCATACAGATATGTTTGGTGATCGTGTTAGTCGAATGGGTTCGATACGGTAGTTTTCAGTTTTCAGGTTTTGAAGAATATTCAAAATTTAAAATTTCTGATTTACTCAAAAATGCTTTCATAGTAACGTTCTTTTCGTTGTATTTATTTATCATGGATGGAAAAGAGGGCCACATAGCCTAGCCTTTCGGTATACAGTATTAGACTGCTTCTTCCATTTTTGAGAACGAGTAGAAGAACATTCGTAGCAAGTGTGACCGATCGGTGAAAATCGATTTAAATTTTTTACTTTACGTCGTAGTGCTGTAGGGGCATTTTTCGTAGACAACGAACTTTCCTTTGAAAATCTCCCTCAGAAGCAATTCGGGCCAGCTTGAATCCTAAGGCGACAAGAGAAATAAAAGCATCGAAAAGCCTCTCCGGCATAAAATAGAAAAGTCTTAAAAGGTAAGAACGATGCAGCAGTTCAAGAATATATCGAATGGTCTTTGTTCGACTACCTTGCAATAGTGGTATTGATTGGTTTGTCATTCCGTTCTTCAAAACTTTCATTTCGTTTGCACTCAAGGCATATTTTCGTCTGATCGTTGCGTGTTTCTTATCGATTTTTCGTCGCTGTCAGTCTTTGAATAGCTTCACTCAGCCTAGAAAATAAAAAAGAATCATAACACCATGCCGAAGGAGGGAAAATGTGTCAAGAAGGCCGCTACCGCAAAGCACAAGATTACAGCTAGCAAATCTACGAAAGGATTGACTTCTTCGCAACAAAAAATGATTGACACCATCGCTGCGATATCGCTTCAGATGCAGAACAACGTCGTGAGTCGTTCGATTGTTGCGATGCAACTAAAGCTTACGTTGAAAAGCGTGAACAATGCGCTTTCCAAACTAAAACAAAAAGGGCTGGTGACAATGGATACGGGTGTTTCTGTTTCCATCACCCAGGATGGAGTCGAGCAAGCAAATCTTGATTCTGCCAAAATATGCAAAAATAATCGAGAACACCACTTGAATACAATGGATACTTTCAAACTCACGCCCAAGCAACGTCAATTGTTTGAAGAGCTTTCCGACGGAAGCAGAAAGACGAAGAAGAACGTTGCTTCGTCGTTGGGATACAACCGCATGAAATCTTTCCAAAATTTGTTGATGCCCCTAAAGAAGTTTGGAATCCTATGCTATGATAAAGATACTCTCTGGCTTAGTGATGCGATGTTTATCTTCGAGGCTCGCAAGGAGAGTGGTCCTTGAGTGCAGAAGCTGCCTTCAAAAACTGCTGTTTTACAAAGCACTCGTACATACCCGCACGTACAAGATGGGCAATTTCACAAACGTTCTGTTGCGCTTACTTCACGTAAAAAACTGGCGTTTTATATTATTTGAACTACTTCTACAGTAATGAGAGTCGCATTTTCGTAGCCATTGATGATTTATATGTAAAAATGTAATGCGATCTACAATTTTAGGCCTTGTTCTCGTACAGATACCAGCCTAAACACAATACGAGTGTGACTTTGATTGCATTATCGCTAGTTAAACTGTTTTATCTTAGTTCATGGTGACTTGTCCTAGTAGAGCTCAATTGGTGACCATTGTTATCGCCTTGACGCCTCATCATGGTTTCGTAAGAAGTTGTGGGTGCGATAGTGGTCGTTGTACGGTACAGTAAGCATGAGTCGCAAGAGAGTCGCCCTGATCGGCTCTGATAATGGCTTCCGGGTGCCACTTCTCATTTTTGTCCGGCGCTCCACTGATCCACGAATGGTTTTCAGTTTTTATTTAGATGTAAAAAATAGAAAAGCAATTCCACATTCAAAAATGCACTATGTTTCTCTCGTACACTCAAAAGATCTGTACGATGGCACGTACGTGAATTCCGTGGGAAACGTATTGTGGCAACGCGGGACCAAATTCGAAACCGTGGACGCCCCACAGCTCATACAAAGTCGCAAAGAAGGATCCCACACGATATTTTCTCGCCTCGTGTCGGCACTCTATCATGCAACAGCATTCAGCTTGCAGCACATTCTGAATTCTTGTGCGATGCACATTGCCATAATTCTGCGAGAGAGAATCACAAAATAACATAGTCTTGACAATTTAACGATGGTGGTGATCAGAACCTCTATCATCGCAACCCTGTTGCTGTTGCTCTTCTCTGGAACAGAACGCCTTGCGCAAGGTCAGAATAACGAGAATAGGGGAATCTATCTCGATCGGTTTACATACAAAAACAGAAACCAAAAAAACAACGTCAAGGTGAACGGAAATGATCATACTGTAATAGATTATGCACCAGATAACTGGGGGGATATTTCCTGCAACGAAGGCTCGAAGCTCAGCGAATGCATCGGATACCCTGACAAATGGGAAACCGGAAGGGAGTGGGGCATTTCGAAAAACTACTGCAAATCGTGCCCAGCAGGCGAGAACAATGGTTGCGGACGGCACCATCAATCTCCCGTGGATCTACAGCGTGGGGTTGGCCTCGACTTCAACGTGTCGTCGAAGTATTACTCGGATATTGCAAACGAATGCATTGTAAGTATTCTGCTATGGTCGATTTTCGTTGGCATTGTATGAGACTGTATCATTCCTTCTTTTGATCTCTGATTCATTTGTATGCACTCATGATTAAATTTTTTTCAATGACTACTTACATATTTTGGAACGGCATATAGGATCTCCATTGGATGAAATACGAAGATTCGTTCTGTTCGATGGATCAATTGGAGAACTCAGATGCCTTTACCATCGAACGCCATGCCCTCCGAATTGCACAGCCAATCAGTGTCTATGATAATATCGCGAACGACAAGGACGGTGTTCTCGATGGAGTCAAACTCGAGTGTCGCCTTGAGGGACGCGGGAGCCGATTTGGACGGATCGATTATAGCAAGGGATTTAGTGAGTGGTGGCACCTTTCACATATTGATATCCATACTCCATCAGAGCACTATCAAGACGGAGTTCAGTACGATGGGGAGATACAATTGCAGCACTTTTACAGTGTTCCGGCACGTGAGACGCAAACCAAGTAAGCAAAGAGTGATGCTGTTATGTTTTTAGAAAGCACCACTCATGATCTCTCAGTCGTATATTCTTTTCTTTCCCTAACAATTGAAATTTCATTTTGTGCTTCCCTCTAACCATAGCGTCAACAACGAGATGGGAACGGTAAGCGTCTTTTTTATGGCCTACGAGGATGCTGCTCCGTATCGATATCTAGACAAGGTTATTTGTCAATGGAGAAGAAAGGAATACGAAGTTAGAAAAGAATGTGGACTGGATCCTGTGGATTCGACTTATCCTGGTTGTTTTCCTTTGAACAAAGGCCGCCGTAATCTTCGTCATAAAACTGGCAGCGAGAAGGCTGAATCGAAGTTCAAACGCCATCCAAAAGGTTTCCGAACTATTCATGACGTTATTCTCTACAATGATTTCAATAAAGAACATCCTAATCACACCGACGTCCACGTTCATATGGAAGAGAGCAATTGGGACCCACCTGACGATTCGATAGATTGGGACAGTTTCGTGGCGGAGCAGAGTCAAAAGTTGAAGGATGAAGAAGAACTATACCAAAAGATGATGGAATTTGAGAATAGAACTAGTGGCAATGGTAACACCACAGAAGAGGCACTCCGCGAGGAATACCGACGGAAATTAATTGATTACGAAGAAATTCCTTGGTTCAATTACTGGCCAATGATTGGAGTACAAACCGAGTATTATTTTCGGTATTCTGGCACTCAAACTATTCCGCCATGCTACGGAGACTTCGATAGCTCTAGTCGAAAGGGAACCAATCATTGGAGAGTAATGAAGGATCCGATTCGAATCCATCCCCGTCAATTAGTCGAACTCCGCAGATTGATTGCGGAACGCATAGCGCCCAAAGGAGATCCCATGAAGTCGTGCAGGGCCGACACAGCAGCCAAGGTCAATATTGACTCATCACGCGACCCAAGCGACCCCAAGAAGTACGTGAAAGTTGACACTGCCCGGCCCCTTCAATCATGGGATCGAGTTCATTACAAAACCTTTTGCGAGTGCAAGGATTGGGTCTCAAAGTGGCCCGCCGATCGTCAGTGGTGTAAAATCCAGGACATGAACACACGTTTCTTTAAGAAAAAATACAATTTCGATGCGTATTAAATTCAGAGGATTGAGTCAATGCCTACCGAAAATAAAATGGAAACAATTCTACCAAATCGAATATATTCGTTTGCACTTGCTTAGCAACAACTGGATATTATTTTCCCTTCTCAAGGTGCATGGATGTGTGAAAAGCAGCCAGGGGATATTAAACGAGTCTTTTATTTTTATCAGGACAATTGTATTAGTATTATATAGCTGATTACTCTTCCAAAAATCTTGCAAGAAAAATTAAATTTTTCTATTCGACGACAGCGCTTTTCTTTTCGATTCATTCTTATTTCCATGATTGTAGTAATGTTTGCAGGAATTCATTTTTCTTGATCGTTGTCGTTTCGATAGACAGAAAAGTGTGGCTTGCATAACGGGATACCAGCTCATGCTTTGCTAATCGTCATGGATTCGAACATCTCCATTCAAATGATCCGTATTTGCAAACACCTTGATTTCAATTTGGACACCTCTAAAACCTTCGGAGTCGTGGTCTTCTTTTAAACACTCGCCATCTATTGCGCATCTGTTTTCTGCTGTTGCGTCGTGTTCGTCGGATCGGATCGAAAAGTCCAGAATTGTCAACGATGTATTTGGTGTAATGAGTTTGTTCTTGCGTTTCGCATCAAATGTTGCACCCATCTCTTTGAGTTTGCTCACGCCCACCAACCGCAGTAATATCTGTCTCAAAACTCCGCCATGTGACGTAATCAAGATTCGTTTTGGATTATTGTTTACAATGTCGCTTGCTGTATCCTCCCGACAGCTGTCACCGCTCATATATTCGTCGTTGCCAATCGTTACTGTCGTTTCAACCACGTCTAATCTATCTGGTTGTTGTATGCTTTTGTCACTCTGTGATAACAACTCTTCTTCGACTAGTTCCGACAAAAATGATTTCACACGAATCCAAATATCGTCGTCGCTTTCCCACTTCGGCATTGTGTCGGAATCTCCTCTTTCCCTCCATATCTTGTTCGTTTCGCTTCGATCCGAATTCCAGGGCATTCCCTGTAGGGTCCCATAAGACCGTTCCCGCAATCGTTCATCGAGGCGAATGTCGCACAACCCAGAAACTTTGCCGGGGGCGGTAGTTTCCTGGTCTTCGTTGACATTATTGTAGCTATTGCGGCCGTCCAGCTGCCGTTTATGCATACCTTCCAACATTAATTTACACGTGTCGTGAGCTCTAGAGAGATCAGAGGAATACACGCAATCGAACGGACATGTTCGTTCGCTCCCTTCTTTCTGTCCTTTTGTTTGTGATCGTGCTCCCGATGATGTCGGCAACAAAACAGAACTCTCGCCCAACATTCTTGCATCACTAGCCCCGCCTTTCGTCAAGGGCGAATCGAGTTGACCAGCAAAAATACCACGATGATTCGCTTCACTTTCGCCGTGCCGAACTAAATATAATCGCAAGCGGGATTCGGCCCCTCGCCCCCGGGAAAGATTTGTGGGGTGGAGATTTGCCTCGTCGCTTGCGACCATGGTAAGATTTTGTTGGTGCCGGTTTCTTTCTCCGCCGTTTGTATTGGGTGCTTTAGTGAATGCCAATGGTGAGATTTGAACTACAAACAGGGCTAGCAACGCTTTGTCTCTTGGTACGAACATAGTGTGATATCAATTTCAACACTTCGAAGCCGGCTCTCGCCACTGGTTATATTTAGTTGAGAATTTTTTGTTCTGTATTTCGTTTTCACACGCACACTCCAAATCAATCTCGATCATCGTCATCGATGGATGTGTTGCAGGATGCACGACAGAAAGAGAGAAACATTCGTGATTCACTCGAACATCCACGATCTACTCGTACGGTGCATCACAAAATTTTCTACTCTCGTAAAAAATAACCTCAATTTTATTCTTCGTAAACATTATTTCAGTATCATTATTTGTTTTACTCTCTAGGTTGAGCACAAATAGTGAGACAGAGACATTAATCACGCCACAATCACGAGACCGTACGGTAGCTAGTAAATACCCTCACTCTTTATTGTAAAGACGTACGTATTCATATGACATGAGAGAGCCTGATGGTATTCCACAGGTTATGAGCAGTTACCCGCGTATGACACCTCTACCCGGGTACGTACAAGAAGTACGGTAGTTCTGTATTAGGATACACTTAACGTTCCCTGCAGGCAAGACCTAAAATGTTTTCGAGTTTGTAATAACAAATAACAAGTACTTGCAACTTGAAACTTCCATCTCCTCTATTGGAACAATACTTTACCACTACTAATACTGTACTGTCCATCAATCTATCAGTTATTTCGTTTCGAATGCTATATGCGCGGAATCAACTGCAAGTGTCGTTTCGCTTTCTCGCAAAAACAACCAGATCGTTGTGGTATGGCCACATTGAATTAGGTTCAGTATCCCACCATGATCCTTGCCCCTGATACACGACCTCGAATCCTGCGACTGTCAGATTTGCTACTGCTTTGTGGAACTTTGCTACGCGACGTTCTTTGGTAAAAGACCACTCAAACACAAGATGTGTTACATCTAACCAATCGGCACTACGAGAAGCCTCGGCTGCCAACAGAATATCAATCTCTGCTCCTTCACAATCCATTTTCACGAATGTAATTCCCGGTTCCAACGCACCAGCATCCCCAAAAAATGGAATTGTTTGAACTCGGGAGCGATCTAGGACAGCATTCTGTTGCCTAGATACTAGATTAGCTCCTTTCCTGTCAACGTAGCTCGAATATTTCTCTAAAGAATGCCTCCATGAGTTCAGCGTTCCGTCGCTTCTATTTCTAGCGTTGACAAAATTGCACTGTCCTGGTTCCCCATGAGCAACAGCAAAGTTCCTTATAATGTGACCTCCCTCGTTCCATTTGCTTTCGCTCTCGTCACAGCTAATAGGTTTTAGATTGTGCTCGAGAAGCTTTGCATTCTCGAGCTCGGGTTCATATGCAATGATTTTTTTGCATCCGACGCTGAGCGTATACCTGCTAAAGACGCCTATATGAGCACCAATATCTAACACAGACTCGTGGCCAATTACGAAGAATCCACTTCGAGCTCCTTTCTTTCCGTTCTTATTTCCAACCATGCTCGACCATGCCTTTTCGGACAATTCATAGGTACAACCTGATTCTGAATCCAGAATCTCGTTTATCACCAATGAATCTGTCGATTTTAATCGAAATCTTAATTGAGGATACGATGGAAGTAATAAGTCGTGTTTCTTTGTTAGCGCCTTAGCAAGTGAATCCTCAAAGCTCATATTCTTGTTTGACATCGAATCGATTCTTGTTTTAGGCGTGAACCATACCAGTGAGAATCGTTCTCCTCGAAAGCAACCTGTCGATTGGATTTGTCTCCATCCATTGTACTGCAGGGGTTGATAGCGGATGTCAAAGTGCTTCCCATCAATAATGAAGTCCCCATCAATGTAATCACCCAGACCAACAATCATTGTACAACTTTCTTCTCCACCTTGGCCGTTAAGAAAGTGCGGGGTAAATTCTGCGTTTCGACTTATCATACAATGCGAAGATCTGCCTAGGGGACACGCTACTGGTTTCTTGTCATAAAAAATTTCTGTGCTTCTTGACAAACAATATGTCTCTAGATCAAAAACAGCTTCAACGAGTTCTGGGAATTCTGCGTTAATCCCCACGCTTTTTCCTCCAAATATTTTCGGGTTGACAACTGTAAATGATCCGATCTGGAAGAGCTGTCCTTGAAACTCGGAAGATATTGGTCGGGATCTTCTATTTGAACATGTGTTATGCTTCTGATTCTCCCCGTACAAAATTCTGTATGGCGATCGGATGAATCGCGATTTTGCATCCGGCGTTCGTGGCCACTTTTCGTTGTCACAAATGTTGTGAAGTAAAGAGAGAACTTTCCGATAAGGCTCTGGTGCAATCGCACGTGGAATTACTTCATCGATCGATTTGTGTTGGCTATCTTCAGTTTCCACTAGTTGAGAGCTCGCAGCTTTCGTTTGTTCTTTAAGTTCCGATCGAATGCGCGGGCTTGTGTTGTTAATTAGTTTACTTATCCACCTAGCGTCCTCTTCGACCTTCTTGCCCCATCTTCGCAACACCTTTGAATGCAATGATGTTCGCCACGATGAACCACGATCATATGCAAACTTTGTCTCAAACAAAGATGACGGGAGAATAAGATCAAGAAAATGAAACCGTGCAGAGCTGAAATACATCAATTCAGCGGGAGCAATTGGCGTTTCGATTGTAATGTCGGCACGAGTCGCTGAGTCCAAGAATCCTACCGGGAGCCAATCGTTTGAAATGGCAACCAAGGTGGCCACAATACGACGTACTTGTTGTGCTACAAATCCGTCCCCTCGTATCTCGATGACAACAAACGGTTCATTTGAATTCATCTCGTCGATGACAAAGCTATGAAGACGACATCTATCTATAGTTCGCCATACATTTTCGTTACTTGGACTTGCCATACTTCCGGACCCTAAAGATGGATCGCAAAAATTATGAAAAGATCGCCTTTCCTTTTTCCAAAGAAGTCCGTACCGACCAGGTGATGAAACTACAGCTGCCGAAGACGAAGAAATCTGGGTAACATCCCGACTCTCTGCAAGCTTTAGTGTCTTCTTGAATTTAATAAGCGAGGATGGTGTTCCACGATCTTGAACCTCCTGTTGACCATCGGTTGTCACTCGAAGTTTTGAATGGATCCATTCTCGAGTGTCTGTGCTCTTGTCGATCCAATGAACTGGAACCAAATATTGATAAGCTCTTTGTGTGCAGTCTTTTTCGGCGTGGAAGTTGCTCGATGCTGCCAGGCTCTCAATACCGAGAACACTGATACACGACAGCGAGCCAGTATTTCTCCTTTCGGCAATCAACTCATCAATACGTATCTGCATCCGGTGAACGAGGCTTTCGGTATCGTCTCTAGTTCCTTTTGATGCCCCCCACTCATAACTGATTCCAACCACATCCGCCAGCGCACTGCAGTTACTCTCTTGCACTAGCGACGGGTGTCGCAAAATGGCTCCCGACGCCAAAGTAAATATCGGTTCTCTCTTGTCTCCATCTTGTCTGATGACGGGTGTAGACGGGTACTCATCTTTCAACGCAAGAAAAAACGTTTTGCAAACGATAGTAGCAGCAATTTCGTTCGTTCTTTCGGTTGCCTTGTCTGGTATATTTTCAGTATCGCAGTCGTCATTGCATTGTTCTGAACCACAATATCCAAACTGGATGGCCACTCTTCGCTTGTCCAATTTTTCAAAGAAATCGAGAACGTTCTTTACGCCGTTGTTTGTTCCGTCTTGCAATTTTGTGACTTGCTCGAAACAGTTTCTGCTGCTTCGAAGATGCCGAAAGAGAGCATTCCTCGAACCAAATGTTTGGTCGCAAAATTTGCAAACATTGGACATTTGGAGTATTCTGAGGCAATCTTATTCACCAACTGGTGTTTGGTAGTTTGTATCGGGCGAAGGATAGTCCGCAGTCGGTTCTCGCTGAAAGGTGGAGCCCAGCCCTGCTAGTGATCCTTCGTAGCCACAAAAGCGTCTTCGTCGGGGTATGAATGCATGCAATAACATTCGATCGCGAGGGCACGTACTTCGAACGTATTGCCGGAAGAAACAGTGGTTCATACGATGGTCGAAATATGAATTCTGTGAGAAGTGGGTAGACTACATTCGTCGGCCTGGCGACGGTGCGGGCTCGCGACTTTTTTCTACAGGCGAGTTCTTAGTATTTTTGGAATGGATTGTGTTGCAAAGGCATACTACTACACAAACGCTGAACGCGTACAGTCATTGTCATACATCAACAACTGCAAGAGTTTCGCTTCTAAACAGTTATTTTGATCATAACCTGGTTCGTCTCAGTTCGACTGGATCGAATCCATCTCTGGGACCTCGGGAACATGATTTGCACAGTCGGAAATTTGAAATTGAAGGGGGTGTTTGATTGCTTTGCTTAGTATGTATGTATAAGGAGTAGGTGAGCGACAAAGAATATTATGCCTATTCGTTGATTATTTATTTCATCTTGTCAGCGTTGGAGTTAGGTCCAACCTTCTTTCCTCCCATACCCGTTACAACGTTCACGTAACGACGGTTGTATTGAAGTCGCTTCTTGGCACGTCCTCGCGGTTGCTTCTTTCCCTCTTCTTGCTTTTCGACCTTAGGTGTTTGGTTCTTAACCTTACCGGCACGAGCGAGCGATCCGTGAACTTTACCCATCTTTGCAAATTATTCTATTAAATGAATCTGAAAGTCGCAAACCAGAGGGGGGAAAGGCGTGAGAATTGGATCAAGCAACTTGCAAACAAGATAGGCGCCAAATTGAAAAAAAAAACAAGATGAAGATGTTCCAGGCCCGAGTAGATGGTCAAGAAAGGCTTCGGGTAGCGTTGAATCGCAGTTGGCCTCAGTAACTCTTCGACGCGTTCTGCTAGCAAAACCAGTTGTTGCTTTTTCCTTCTCGAAAGAAGGTCGCCAAAATGCCACAGTGCAGAGTGCTAAGCGCCGATTGCTCTGTGTTCCTCCTGTTTGGAAACCATCGTTAATACGGCATGGTCAGGGGTGGAGGATGCATTCAATTCGACGGACCCATTTCTACTTCAAAGTTTCTAACAAGTCTGTCCTGTCTGTATCTTCTTGACTACTTCTCTGGCCTCTTCATCCTGGAGTAATTCTTTTCATCGTGAGTGGTGGCACTTCGGCAGTTACCATGGTCAGTCTTACCTTGACGCAACAATAAATTGGTTGAGACGGGAGACGAGACCAGTCGAGTTTCACTTGGGGGATTGCGCGTTTTTCAGGCTGTACAATAACGTTGTCTAAGTACTAGAGAGGGACAAAAAAAGCACTTCTAGTAATAGGTAAAGAAGTTACTCTTAACCTTAGTAGTGAAAAATCAATGTGCGGGGCAGTAAGTGTGAGGCTCAATCCCGAGTAGATAGTGAGTAAACTCACTCTTTATACTTGGGTACCTACGTACTCGGTACCCGTAGCGTAGGTACTCTTCATATCTAATTTATTTTATGTACCTTGTACTTTTGCACGTGTTACAGAAAGAGACATTAGTATTTAGGGAAACTCGTATCGTACGTACGTACAGACCCCAAGAATAGGTATGACGGAGGACCATACTTGTATTTTGTACCGATATGCCCATAATTTTGCTTTGTGCCGGCACCGTACCGTACGGTACGTACAGTACAGTACTAGTTGTACTGTATGGCGGATTTCGGATTTGATGTCATCACAAAATTTAGAAACCCCCAACTACCGAAATAAATTACTGTACTTCGTTTCTATTAGTAGCAGTACTACAGCAGCATTGATTCTCATGAATCTCGGCAACTGCTGAGCATATCGATCAACTGTGCGGCGGTGGATTTTGGAGAACAATGGGGACACACGTCACAAAACAAAGGCGTAGTACCAATAGTGTTAGTATTGATGAGCACGTTGGTGTTAGCAGTGTGCTCTTTATTATTCCGAATCGAGGGATATTGTCCCGAAATGGCGGATCGGAAAAAGGTTGAACAGACTGACCGCATATAGAGAGGTTTAACGATTCAAAACGGAAGAAAGATTCGACGTCTACTCGAAAATTCTATTTATAATCAAAATAGGTACGAAGCGGACGTATTGACAACTACGAAAAGTAATATCAATCGATTGAAACAAACTTCTATAATTCTTTGGACGGAACATGTAATTTGAAGCATTGTACATCTCTCCATGTTTTTTGTGAAACAAAATGCCACGATATTTCGCACCAATGCTTGTCTTCGTCAAAAGACATAGTCTCCTCTAGAAACTCGCCTTCATTTTGAGAATGACCATCGAGGTGATTCGAAAGACACCCGCAATCGCCAGCAAGATAATCCAATACCAGTAAGAATCCAGCTGGTAAACCCCATTGTTTTCTAATAGATCTTGGCACGACGCAGTCTCGCAGTCTCCAAATTCGTACAGCGTTGCCAATCGGACGGCATACGTCAACGAACATAGATACTGGGCCCATCTCAGAAATTCTGGGATCAAATTGACCTGAATGAAGAATCCCGAAAACAACAATTGCGGGACAATCAAGGCCGGGATCATTTCCAAAGCAACAGCGGGGTCTTCAACGCAACTTCCGATGAACATTCCAATACTGGTGCTGGCAATCGCCAGCATAAAATTCAAGGCCAGGAAAGGAAAGAAATTCATCTGGAATCCCATCAAGAAGAAAGCCACAAGCAATTGCACCAACACCACCAGCAAGACCGTGAAACATTCCAGGGTGAATTTCGCCAGGAAGTAAGGAAGGACAGAGTAATGATTGGTGGAATATTCCCTCAAAAAGACTGGTCGGTCTTTCGGGAATTCCATCAGGGAAGATTGCGCAACTCCAAACATGGTAGAAATCAACAGGTTTGAAATCGCTACGTTGCGAAAACAAAAATCGTTGATGAATCGTTGGAAGAAAGTTGAGATGGAATTGATTGGTGAAAAATGAGATGGGATGTGACGGCATGACGCTGAGACCGTCAACAGAAAAGAGACTTACCACCGAACGATGCCATAACTTCCGGGTATAGCACATACGACGCTTCTCCTACTTGGTAGAAGATCGCGCCGAACAAGAGACCAAATACCACATTGCTACCGATGCGTATGACCATAGAAAGCTTGTCTCGGATCAAGTTCTTGATTTCTCTGTCAAAGAGAAGGACCGTTTGCGTGACAAATCCTACTCGTTCCACGGACAGCGCTGCTTTCATATTCGCAGCAGCTGCGGAATCCTTAGACACATCGGCGTTTTCTGCGCTGTTCTTTTTGCGATCATCACCAAAGAAACCCTTCTCCGTCAGTTCCTCGATTGAATTGGTTTGGGCGACTTGCTGTGATGTTCAATGCGTGCATGACGAAAAGAGTAGAGCGGAAAAAATTGCAAGCGTGGGGTGGCAATGTGAGGCAGTATAGAAGAGTGATGGCAAGAAGCCTGTGCATCAATCAAAGCTTGGCACCGGCGCTCGACTAGAACGAACCAGAACCTACCAGTATCCAATCGGCAATGTTATAGTCATCGGGTTTCGGGAATCCCTTCTTTGTAAATTCTTCTTCCAAGGGAGGGCCCATGCATCCATCGTACAAGAGACGTCCTTTCAGAAGCAGAAGCAAGTTGTCAATTTTCCGCACGACTGGGGGAGGGGGCTGGTGGATGGTCACAATAACAGTAGCACCCGCGTTGGCGATTTTCTTAAGGACGTCCATCAAACTCTGGGCCGAGTAGGAGTCCAGTCCGGAAGTTGGTTCGTCGAGAACCACGATTTCGGGATTCGTCACCAACTCAACGCCGCACTGGGTGCGTTTCTTTTCTCCCCCGCTCAGGCCGCCTGCCATGAGCGGCCCGCCTCCGATCAAAGTATCGGCGCAGTGCTGCAAACCCAGATTTTCCAAGATATCATTGACAACGTCGTCGATTTCCTTGTCGGTAGTGCTCTTGTCCAATCGGAGCCTCGCCGAAAAGGTCATGGCTTCCCGGGGTGTGCACGTCGCTGGGATTGTTACGTCTTGTTCGACGAACGCGATCTGCTTCCGAATGGCAATGTTGGTTGGGTCGACTGCCTTGCTGTCCAATCGGATTCCCCCACTCAGATCGAGCTTGGAGGAATCGCCCATTCGTCCCGTTAGCACTTTCAGGAGACTTGTCTTTCCGCTTCCCGAAGGACCCATGATTGCCGTCAGTGTCTTAGGGGGAAAGCTACCAGAAAGACCGTTAAGGATCTTTTTCGGTGGTGATTTTTCGGGATTCTTGCTCTTTGTGGACAGAAGAATATCATCGAATTCCAGGGTGTGCCCATCTCTCGAGGCAAAAATGGAACTCTCCTTTCGCTTCAACTGTGCACCTCCCGAAATAGCATCGTTGTCGCCTCCTGAGATTTCAAGGTCAGGTCCGGTCTCATTCTCGGATTGGGGTGCCATGGTGTTCGGTTTCTTTGTGTTCCACTAGCTTTGGGCGACGAAAACACTCGGGTGTTCGAAGTGTGTTTTCGTTCCGGTTCGGCGACTTATCGGAAACCACTTCAGATTGCGCGAGAGCCGGGTGTCACACACCATATAAAAACGATGATGTAAGCGGATGGAACGGACGATAAGTGCGTACTCGTACTGGTACTACTGATTTCTATCGGTGAATGGAACAGGGAGTTCCAATCCAAAAGATAATCTGATTGGCTAATTATACAGATCAAAATTATCGAGGCTGTTTTTGGCAAGACTCGAACCGTTTTTTTTCACAACCAGAAGGACCCTGCGAATTCTGAGCACAGGGTTAAAAACTTTATTTTTTATTTATCTTATCCCTAACTCTAAGAAAACAATAAAATCCCCCCATGAACAGGATGCAGTGGCTACTCGTACCGTACACCGTAAAGTACTGGTAGCAGCACTTTGAGTAATCGATAATCGGCCTTCTTCTAGCCAGGACTCACAACCGTTGTCACATGAATGTACCTCTGGCAGAGGGCCACCGCGCGATTCAAAACTTTAAATCAGTGCACTTATCAAACAAATGATGCGCATGCCATCGATAAAATCCCATGGGAGTTCCGGCGTCAACGGAATAATCTGCTTGAATTAGTAGGAGTACATGAGCAGGCATATGTTTGAATCGGATCATCGATGTTGGAAACCAACCCTAAGCAATGATATTGCCAGTTTTTTCGTTGTGAAAAGGAACCACGGGTAAGGACTAAGGACACGGTTGCTCATACCGCAAACCATCTCAGTGAAAGGCTAGAGAGGCGTTGTACCTCTTGGTTGACGGCGAACAACACAAGATAAACAATAACGCCACATTATCGCATCGGACCATAATCGACCGCGTTTCCATCATGGTCAGCGGCAGCAAAAGCAGCGATGCCCAAAATCTGCGTTTCCTGGGAGGGGGCAACGACAACAATAACAACAACAACAACAATAACAACAACAACAACAACAACAACAACAACAACAACAACCAAAATTATGGCGATAGGTATAAATTCGTAACTTACGAGTCCTTCAATCCTCTGTTGTTTGCAAGTACGCTTGCCTATTGCGCAATTGTCACCCTGCTGGTGGTACTTCGAATGAAATTACATCGGAAATCGAACAAGAAACGCAAGCGACTCGGACTGCCTCCTGCGAGCAGAGAAAACCGCAAGCGTTCGAAAAATGGGGACGACGAGGAGGACAACATCATCACCGACGAAGAAATTCATCGATATGTCCTGCCTTCCAAACAAGAACAGTCTGTCAAAGAAGCCGCGAAGGTTGTCCGGTGCGATAGAGAAACGGAACGGATCATGGGCTTGTGCAAACCATTTTGGATGGAGGCGTTCGTTTCTGGAATCTGTGATGTTTTCAACACTGCATTGATTGGGAAGGTCCTTGGCGTAGACTCTCTGGCAATTTTCTATATTGTGACGGTTCCCACATCGTTCACGGAAACTATCATTGGGGCCGTTTTGGAGACCGTTTCATCTCTTGGTGGACAGTCGATCGGAGTGGGTTCCTACAAATTGACTGGACAGTACTGTCAAATATCCATTATACTGGTAAGTCTTCCTTCTTCGTTCTAAACATTACTGTCTCCACCGAATCTATCGGTCTTGTCATCGTATGTTCTAATTTCCGTCTTGCGATCTATCAATTTTCTATCATGTAAAAACAAACAACATTGCAGTATACGATATTGTATATTCCACACGCAATCCTTTGGATCACTTGTCTCAAGCCAACTCTCCGGTGGTTTGCGCCGGACTTGGGTGAAGAAGTCATCGAAGAAGGTTACAAATATTTCCTGGTCTCGCTCGTTGGAACGTACATTGAATCGTATTCGACAGTTTTGCACAGCCTCCTCGAAGTTAGCGATCACTATGGATATGGAACGAAATCGGAAATGGTTCACAATCTTGCGGGAGTGCTCGGATTCTTTCTTTATGTCAAAGCCAATCCCGCTGGACAAAAAAGCATTGTTATGGTGGAGGTAATTTGGACTTGTTTGACATTCGCATTTCTCATCATTGACCTCATGGTTGCGAAACGAATGAAATGGTTCGATGATTTTTGGAAAGGTATGTTTCTTCCGGCATTATGTATTGTATGTAAACAAATACTGTGGGAGTGGGGCGTTGAATCAAGTCACATTACGTGTTGTTTTGCATCGATGAGAAATAATGACTGACACAAAGTGCCCTTTTTTGCTGGTCGACCGGAAACAACAAAATTATGAAAAACCAAGGAATTTTGCGTTCTGTGGCAATGAAAAATTGGGAGGCTGTCTGGCTTGTACTTAAAACTGCAGCTCCACTTTCAATGGGAAATATTATCATGACCGTCGAATGGGAATTGCTTGCAATTTTTGCAGCAAGTATGGGTGGAATCCAAGTCGCGGCATGGGGCATTGTTGGGACTATATGGGGGATCTTGGAATATGCCACCGCTTGTGTAGCCAGTGCAGGCGAGATCCGTGTCGCAAAGTTATTGGGAAACGGAAACCCTCGACTGGCCAAACTCAGTGCCTACAAATGTTTATTTCTAGGAAATGCTTTCGCTTCTATCATGAGTATCTTATTCTTGGTTGGGCTCCCCTATATTCCTTCGTGGTTCACTGACGATGGTGAACTCCATGGTTTGGTTGCGAATGTCTTGCCTTACTGTGCGATAGGGAACCTAACTTTGACCATAGGATCGCTCGCCTGGACATTGGTGGGTGCCCAGGGAAGATATTCCGTTGCAACCTTTCATGGTTGCATTGGTAGCTTGCTGATAACAATTCCATGCGCTGCTCTTTCGACCTATCGGTTAGGTTGGGAATTGCCGTCTCTGGCAGCTTCGGTTGTGATTGGATACATGACTTCGGGTGCATTCAATTCCATAACTCTCTTTTTGTCAGATTGGGAATACATTTCATATCGCGTCATGATCAAGAACGGGGCAACAGAGCCTGTGGAAGAAGACGAAGATTACGAAGACCAAGACGAGGAACCTCGGTGGAATGTATTTAATTTCATGAAAACAAGTTCACTTGATGGAAACGACAGCCATAGGAACACAAATAGAACCCGTAAGTTGCACTGATATATTGCTTTTCTTATTGGTCCGAGAACTGTGCGGACAACCAACCTGTGAAATTGCCTCACCTTGCGGTGTCTCTCCGTGGTAGTTCTGGTGGATACGCTTACGAGAAACACAAGCTCGTTGAGTGTCGAAGATGATGGCTCCAATTCAGCATCGTCAAAAAGATCTCTAGAAAGAAATTACGAAAATGGTCCTGTTACAAATACTTCGTCTTGGTGGGCATCGCTTGGCGTCGATCAAAGTGAAGTTCGGGAAGTACTGATTGGTCCTGGAAAGTTAGGTTACACGATACAATCAACAAAACGAGGACCTATGATTGTAAGATGCCCAAAAGAATCTAACCAGAGTTTCATAGGACCAATGAGGGGTACATCTCACCGTGGACGGAGAGCGATAATCATTAGCGGTGATCTATTTTTGGGTGACATCATTGTCCAGATCGATGAAATCCCAACAGACAAAATGTGCGGAAGAGAGCTTGGTAAAATTCTCAGTAAGAGGTCAAATAGAGAATCCCGTAAGTTGATAGTGAGTCACCGAGAAGGAACGGGACTTGCAACCGTATACCAACCGGGTCCTTACGGATCAGCGGCGATCACTGGTGTTCTCAAGAATGCCAAAGAGATTCAAAATAAAGAATTCGAAGATGAGGGGGTGGTTGGTGCTGGATATTTCAACATGGGCTGGTTTTCGTGAAGAGTGGTGACATTGCACATGACCCCTCGCCATACCAAAATACATGGTCCCTTTTGTAATTATAGTGGAAAGCGCAAAATAGCAACGGTTGAGGTGAGAGAGTATCATGGCTCCTCCTCTTTCAAATAGGTCCACTCAAAAAGAGTAACTTTCCAACTAGAAACATTATTCTTAATTTACCACAAAGGCTACTACTGCAAATTTGCGGGAACAACAAGGGTAAGGTACAACGAGCAGGTCAACCGGACCGAGGATCATTTTTTGATCTAGTATTCATAGGATGAGAATTGGAAATTAGACCAAACGCATCCATTTCAAAACTCATTACAATACCTCTATAACTATTGAACGCTTAGTTGTCTTGGTTGTTACAGGATAATCTATGTGATCCCTGATCTGACCTATGGTCGTATTTGCTAAAAAAATTGGAATCGACACTTCACACATGAAACGAAAGAAAACTAGAAATCCCATTGGTAAGTCACTAATTTTGCCTTCCGTTTTGTTCTGCTTATACACTCCACGTCGATCTTACTTATTGAGGGCATCCAAATAATCCGAGCATGAAACACCAGCATAAGGGGGAAGAGGAAGATTTTTGTCGACTGTGTTCAAACTTTCACCCTCGGTCTTGTTCGCTGAAACTTTGCTTGTTCTGTTCACTTGCTTTGTCCAATGTTCAATGCCGCTTATTAACTCAGCTCTCTCCCTCTTTGTTATATTTATGTAGGTAGTGTTGTGAATCTCATCGTAATAGTGATCTACGATTTCGTCAAAGGTGCCACCAAGGCTTCCTCTCGCGTATTGATCAGATGTTGCGAGATCGACTTTTTGGATTTGAGTAAAATAGGACGACTCTCCAAATATCGTTGCATTCTCTTTCAAAAGTTGCTTAAACTTTTGAAAGGCTGTTTTCAACGTCATTGGACCAGTAATGCGGACCACCCTCGGTCGAGCGACGTTTTTGATTAGCACAAGGCGTCGGGTTAGATCCTGGAGAGTGAATATTGCAATCGGGTGTTGAGGTGCCATCCCAAACAGCCACTGCGAACAACGATTTTTGCCATCCGAGAGAGAGAAAAAAGAATCTTCTTCTCGAATGGTTTGAGAGTTGAATTTTGGACCTGGCCAATTGTCTATGTCTGTGTATATACCACCATAAGTCCATACAACAAGCATCCTCCATACATCAATGAGCATCGCCCCAGTGGACGTGACGCATGGCATTCTATCACGCAGGTTTGGAAAGTGTTCTGAAGAATGCCATAGTGGCGATTGGTTGCTGCGGTCGTCTCCCTCCATCAAACGTTTCACTGCTTCGTCGTCGTGAAAGAATATCGAATGATCCGGCAAAGCATCACTCCAGAGTCTAATGGATGTCGCCAGGTCGTTTGGTACACAGCGGTTGTTGAAACTAAAGTGAACAATACGCGGTATTTTTCGGTCTGCTCCTCCCAATGAGACTGCCGTGGTGTTCTCAGATCTAGGCGATGTTGAAAAAAGAATTCTGTCGTAGATCGGGGTCATATGTGGAGACGGACAAACTATACTTCCCGGAGGAGGGCTTCTCGTCAATTCCTGCAAGGACCGGAGTACCTTATCGTGATCGCGATCGCGACTTTTAAAGGAAAACTTCTGAGACGACGACTCGATCTTCTCTCCCTCTCCCTTTGACTTTGAAACGTCATTTTCTTTCCTCTTCAAGGAAGCAACAGAACTATCTTCATGGGTAGTTTTCTCCGAGATTGCATTTTCTGGCCTTGAATACAGAGTCAGGCGATGTATGTAAACGATTGACAGCGTGGAGTACAACCCAAGTGTAATCAGGATGAAAAAGAGAAACAGAAGTGAACCACGATTTCTTGGCTTGTGTTGTTCTGTCTGAAACTGATGGACACGATAATTGTTACCGCGGTGACGGTTCAACTGGTTCGCCATTTTCTATCGTTCAGAAAATCAGAGGGAAAAGGCGACGACAAAGACGATCTCAGTCTACCAACGCCTGTGATGAATGCAATCCTCGTCGTGCGATTCCGGTTGTCCTGTTCTCTTTTCCCATACCTAGTCGACCTGCCGTTGGCTTTCGATGAACTACCGGTATGCCGCAATCGGAACCCTTATTTCCCGGTACGAGTTTGATCGGAGTATTGTAAAATTACAAACAAAATTAACGCGGGATTCTAGGCCACGAACTAGTAGTGTAACTTTGGAAGACTAGTTCTACCAAGTCCTAGCAGTAGAGCATCATATGGCTTCCCAATGACACCAATCTTGAAGTAATTATATCATCTTCGACTGGGTTCTTAGTCTGGTGGTCTAAAGTTGTTTTTTGATAAAGTTCTTGCCAATTTTATAACCAGCACCAGCCAGTCTCCAAAAGTAGCAAAATATGACGACCATACCACCAGCTGTTAGAGGTGGAGAACCGCTGTCTCCCCCCTGCGCTATAATCATTATGCTGTAGAAATGACACACAGCACTCTTCTTAACACTATGGCCAAGCATATCCTAAAAAGAGAGGACAATAGAGGCCTTTCTGGAGCTGTTGTGGTTAGCTTATTCTTGAACTGGCTGTTTATGGTCAAAAGTGACTGAATACTAGTACTACTAGTAGTAATAGTAGATCTATGTAGGATCTGGTACTAAAAAAAATGGCTTCAAAATTAACCATGATGCAAATAGTAATAATTTTTGGTGTTTGAGTAGAAAGTAGAATGCCTTTTCGCCCTGTAGGGTGCAGTAGATTTTTATGGTTAACTCATTTTACTCTGATTAAACTCGTACACAAAGATCACAAATGGCTTATGTTTACTGTGAAATGATTAAGTCTTTCAAACTTCTGCCCATTTTCAAGTCCTTGTACAAGTATTGGAGCTAGTAGTTTGTAGTAATATCACATAAATAGTAGTACTACTTAGTATGACACTGGAGAGAAAATGCTCATTTCACAGATTATGACTAAGAATGGTGGATAAATCAGTCTTGCCATTTTATCTCAATTTGTCATCCTATCCTAAGTTGGTGGTGGCAGTGGTCAGGCCAACCAAGCCCCCCTCTTCTTCTACTAACTAGTTCATGAGTGTATCGCAGACCAATGAAGGAGATTGAATTGTACAGTAGTTTTGAAGATTTACGGAAGGTTGCTTGCTCAAGCAGAAGATTTGGTGAGGTCTATCGGTATTGAGCGTGGAAGGTCTCTTTCTATTTCGTTGCGTGAGTCAACAATCAACAATGTTCATCAAATCAAAAAGTGAAGTCGGTGATAAGTGGCAGAAACAAAACTAGAGCGCGCGTAGTAAACCTCGCATCACGCGCGAAGATCGTACCTGTATCGGACGGTACGTACGACTACGACACTTCCTTATTTCTGTAATGTGAACTTCCACCACTGTTGGTGGAATGCAACACTGTGGGACTCTTGGTGAGGTCTACTGCAACTACTATCTGACTAAAATTTTGGTATGCAGGAAGAAAAATATTACCTCACTACTACTCATTTCAAATAATTTGCTTTGCCAAAATTGGGGTTTGACTATTGAGACTTAGAATCATATGACCGTGGGAAAGTAGCCCCTCCAAGATCTCAGTTTGGTGAGGCTTGCTCTGTACTCTGTAAAAATCTCCTATTTCTTATTATTATGTTTGTGGTGCTGGGTGACAATATACTGCTTGACTTGTTGTTACTGGAGTTTGGCGATGTTTGCTGAAAATTAACAAAGGGGAGGAATCAAGCAAGTGGTAACAAAAGCAGAAAGCAGTCACATCAATGAGATGATAGACAAATATTTACTATTTGGAAGCACCACCAGCAGCAGCATCATCTGAAGTGGCATCAACTAACTATTGTCAAGAGTGCAACCAAGAAGAAATCACTTTGGCTTGAAATGTTGTCAGGAGTTCAGGCCATGGCGGTCCGTCCACACTGGTTGACCCAAGCTTAAATAGGAAGCAACTCACCAAGTGACTCTCTGTTACGGGGCTAGTTCAAACTATCACTGAATCATTGCCATATCCAATCGTCTCTAGCCAGTGAGATGTCTGTGACTAAATTCTCAAGATCAAAAATGATGTCAGCCCATTTGTAGCGAGCTCAGCTGAGAATAAACTAAGAATGATGAATGTCGTTGTGAATCTTTATTATGGTCTCGTCATCTGTTTAAGTTTCCCAACATTATGGAATGTATTAGATACAAACAATCACTATGTCAAAGTGAATCGGTTGTCCTCTTTTACGGATGACGCCCCTCGGTGCAACTGGGAGCACTGCTGCTGACTGCCATTTTACTTGCTTCCTGAGTGCCTCTTCTAGTTCATAAACTTAATTTATGATATTCTTTTTTCATTTTGTATACTCGAATCCCAAGATTACATTCAGTAATATCTTTCACAAAATGTCTAAAAGGACTACATCGTTATATCTTCGTCTTGCTTATCTGTGATATCGTTTGCGCCTGCAGAATTGTTGGTTACCTCACCTTGCTCAAGCTTAACAACTCCTAACTCATCCGGACCATCAGGTGTTGAAGGCGCTGTCTGTCCCGATGTTGGTTGTGACGACGGTGGCAAGCGTGTCATCTCAGGTTGCTGCTGCTGGCCAAGCCCAGCGCTGTGTTGGGGATGAATAGGATGGTTATAGTGTTGCTGCTGCTGCTGCTGCTGTTGTTGTTGTTGAGGATTGTGATGGTGATAGGGCTGTTGTTGAGGGTATTGATAAGGATATGGCTGCAGTTGTACCTGTGACGGTTGCTGTCCTCCATAATGTTCCCCTCCGAGGTGACCCACGGGAGGGGGGTTAGGCCCATTGGACACTCCTTGATGAGAATGAGGCGGACCGTGTGGAACATGAGATTGTTGCTGTCCGTATTGATAATGAGGATTGTGTCCATATGGATTATTGTTTGGAGGCTGTTGTGTAGGAGAAGGATGCAACTGTTGGTTCTGATAATGCGGATGTTGCTGTGATGCATGAGCTCCACCATGTGTAGAAGGATGCATTAGCGATGTCGCCTGGTCCTGTTGCTGTGGTTGTTGCTGTAACTGTTGGACGGGGCGAGCGGGAGAGGGGTGTTGACCATTTTCAGCTTGCCCCGTCGATGGCGGGTGTTGGCCTACCACTGGAGGTTCTGGTGCGGTTAAAGCTATTGGAGGAGTGTTATCCGGTAAGTCTGAAATTGCTTGGGGTTGCAGTGGCTGAGGTGGATAAGGATTTCCCCCATACAACGGTAGTGTTCCGGGAGGGGATTGCTGATACGGTGCACCATCATTGTTCGGGTGATTGGCAGCTGCGGCAGCGGCCGCTTGCATTTGTTGATGTTGATACTGCTGTAGTTGGAATTGTTGCCACTGCAGTTGCTGCAGCTGTTGGTTGATATATTGATTCTGTTGAGAAAATTCTGCTGCGGTAGTAGGAGGTGCTGGCATGTTTGCTTGCATCGGTGCTGGCGGTGGAATACCGTTAGGAGGAGAAACCATTCCCGCTGTCGTTGCTCCTGGAGCCATGCCCGGCATACCGTAAAAGGGAAATGGTACCACTGGCATTCCCAAAGCTCCTGGGGGCATAAACCCCGAAACACCACCAGGATTCATCACCAGATGACCATGCATGTGGGGTGCATTTTGAATAGGATTGGCGGGGTCGTGGTGGTGGGAATGATGATACTTGCTAGAGGTGTGGCTACTCATTCGTAAACACAATTCTGGATTGTCTCTCAAGAACATTTTGTGGAAATAAGAGCCCATTTCTGTTCCTCGAGTAACTCTCGTAAAGCCCCAGCGATTGAGTTTGCGAGTGAATGAAGTGAACTTCGTGGCCTTCAATGATTGCAAAAAAGTCAGGTCGTTGCCACAACGACGTCAAAAAAAGGCATTAGAATTGTAATGTAGGTATCGTAAGTACTTGTTGAAACGACACAAAAACGATCCCGGAGACCCTACCTTGAAATATTTCACTAAGACCTGTGCCGCAAACTTTTTCTTCTTGTAGATGATGAAAGACCTCCCATGAGGCAACCACGCAATGGTATCGGAATTTTCGTCGTTTGTCAGAATCTCCATAAGCTTGGAGCGGATTTTGAAAGTAGCAAGCAACGTAGAGAAAAAAGTAAGGCGCATTCCAAAATCATTTTTTATTGCGTGGAGTAAAAATGTGAGATGAAATACAATAAATCTACTCGATTACATTCGCTATGCATAACAGTAGCAGAACAAACAAAGTTGACACTCACGATTTGAGGAAATGTTTTTGCTGTTTCGTCGTCTAGCTCCTTGATAATCTTGTTGTTGCTCTCATTCAAACTTTTTGCTGTGTCCATTGCTGAATTTGGAGGTTTCGCTGCAATCACTAAGGGAGAAGGCGCACTGTCATCTTTGCCAGATAGTTCTTCTTCGGTTTTAGCAACAGCGATTGGCGTGATCTTTTCTGTACCGACTTCATCGGAGTTCGCGTCATTGTTGGTGTCATTGATAGAAGGATCAATGTGAGTATCAGCAATACTTGCTGAAACAGTCGTGATCTCGCTTGACATTTTTATTGAGATGCCGAAGCGTATTTTTCTTGTAGATCCTTTGTCTCTGTTCAGAGGAATGTCTTCATGTGGTCTTGATTTTGTTTGTAAGCTATGAGCATCAACCCTGTCGTGTGTGTCACTCGAGACATGACAACGACACAAGACGCTGTTCTCTTCACTCTGTCCAACCAAAATTCTGATGTGCTGTTATTGCGAAATTATATTATGATTACGGCAGCGTACCAGTTTGGGTGCGAAATAAGACGTGACAGCTTTTTAACGGTAGGCATTATACAGGACTCTACGTGTGGAACAATAGTCTTATTTTACACCTGGAACATAAAGCTGTCACTTAATTCCACCTGGAACCAAACAGGAACTATTTTATATCGAATTATTTCCTTTTTTCGGAGGTTTCCGAGCTCACTTTTTGAGAATTCGAATCGGCGAAACGAAATTGATTTCCGGAGACTAGTTATCAACATGGAATAGAATCGAAATCGGAATCGATTCCAAGAACAGATTTCTCTTAACATAAATCACTTAACATAAATCACTTACTACTGGAGCGCTAAGGCACTCCAGTAGCGCGAAGGCGCTAACTACTGGGCTTCACTCTTATATTTCTGAGCTCGTCGGACGAGCTTTCCGAGCTCCGAGCTTTTTTCCTCTCAGAATTCAGATCAGCGAAACGAAATCGACATCCGGACGCTGCTTATTTGCATGGAATAAAATCAAAATCGAAATCAATTCCAAGAACAGATTTCTCTTAACATAAATCACTTACTACTGGAAGCTCCTCTTACACTTCAGCAACTTCACCAACTACAGGATCAGCATCAACTAAGCCTTTCACTCCCTCCAGTACCTCAACTGGCATATTAGAGGCAACTCTCTCTTCTTCAGTCAAACTGGCAAGGAAAGATAGTGCTTGGTTCTTCAATCTTTCCCTCTCTCTTCCATAGGCAGTTTCTCTGATTGTTATCTTATCATCTTTCAGTCTCTGCCACAGCGCCTCATCAGAATCAGTCCAAGAAGCTGATGGAGGTGTGGGAACATTTTTCACTGTCTTCCACAAATCCAACAGCTTGTCTTTCTTGGGAGGGATTTTCTTTTGCTGCTTCCATTGKCACAAAACCTTAAGAGTAGAGACTGGGAGGATCTTTGCATCTTCATCCTTCTTAACATCTTTTCCCTTTGAAGCGAAATTCTGAATGAAACCAAGAGCTTTACTGTTCAAAACTTGAGCTGCTTTCACAATCTTCTTCTTTGCTTCCAAGTGTTTGATTTCATCTAAACGCCGGGTTCTTTCCTTTGCGATAAAGTAATCCTTCGTGTTCAGTGTTTCACCGCCTGTTGCGATAAAGTGCTKGCTTGAATATTTAACCCCTGCAATTGCATCTTGACGGGCTCTGGTATTGGGTTCAGTCACTTAATCCGCCAACTGCTGGCTCTTTCGGGGGGCGTATTTTCAAAACACTTCACCATTGAAACCACCGTCATTAAAAACTTTAATTGCTGCGGTGTTTCTCTTCTCGTGTGAAATCAGTGCAGCAGTCTTCGGATCTGTGGTCAAATCAATCGATCCATCTGGCAACACGATCAACTCATGTTGAACTTTTTTGTCCTCTAGGCATTTTCGAGTGAACGKAGAAATTCCAATGGTTTTCCACACGTCTTTGCATCTTTCAACGGAGAAGGCTTCTTCAAAAGCAAAATCCAAAATAAAGTTTTCATTCCAGCCATCATGCTTACAGAAGACTAACAGGGGATAATCAGATTGCCAAAGATTATTGTTTGTCTTCCGTCGGTGGTGAGCAAGTTGTTCAAGATTCTTTCGGTACAGAGTTTTGAAAAAACCATAATTGCGATCTGTTGGCTGGGTCACATGTGTTGTATTTGGCATGCCAGGATGAAGCAGAAAACCGCAAGCTGCAAGGCTTGCCAATAATGTTTCGTTGTTTCTTCCGGGCCCACTGTCAACAATCAACATAACTTGTTTGCCAGGCAGATCTGCCGCATCGGGATAAAGCTTAAGAATCGCATCCGATACGTATTTTTCAAATTCATTGCCATCCATTCCGGCGTTGCCATTGCAATTCCCCGTTGCTCCATTGCTAGTCATACAATTACCACCGTATATACCGTTAGTGTTAGGAACACCATTCACAAAAACTTCATGAATTCGCTTCTTCTCGTCTTCTGTGGCAGTTGATTTCAGCTGGAAGTGTGGCGGTAAAGGATATCCCGCAGCATTACTTCCAGCAACCAAAGTGATTCGGGAACTGCTTTTGTTTGTCCTCTCAGCACCGCATCCAATCACTTCATCAGTTGATCCGTATGCTGTAGAAGGCCGTCCACCAGCTTGAGAGCCATTCCCATCAAGTGTGAGACCAGATTCATCAAGGTTGATGATTCTGTTGAGTTGACCACTGAAGAACACAATTTCACCTTCACAGATTTCATCATCACGCTTCAGTCTTGCAAAACCTTTTGCAATAAGTTCCTCTTTCAGTTTACTAAACCATGTGTTTATATTATTATAGGTAGTCCACTTCAGACGTTGTTCCTCAATTTTGTTACCATTTTTGGTAACCTTCAAGTGCCCAGCGAAGGTAGGCAGCAGATGTCGATAAAGGTTTACGTAATCATTCAACAAGCATGGACCAGGAACCAAACAATTCTTCAACATCGCAATGAAACCTTGGCGGCAAGAAATCTTTTCCTTTTCCTGGCAAGCAAGAGCAACAAAGGAAGATATCGCATTTCCCAGCCCTTCTATAATCAACTGCAGGAGCAGACTTTTACGTCCCCTCCCAGGGGGACCGAGGTTGTCGTTCAAGTGTCTTCGCACTGTGTTGGGCTTTAGCAAGGTATTGTACAGCAAATTAACCTGAGATACAATACTCACAACAGAGGACTGGCTGTTCGGTGGCAAATTTTCTCGCTCGTACCTCACCTTCTGCGCAATGGCATCATATGCGTCGTCATGGGCCCTCTTCTTTAAGAACTTGTTCACCATTTTGATATGAGCTTGCTTAGGAGTATCAGGACTCTCTTTTAGAAGGACTGGTGCAAGGGCTCCCTTCTTCAGACTGCTTTCATCTTTGCTCTTCACTGGTGTTGCTGTTGGTGGATTTGTGAGAAGTGCCAACTTTGATTCCAAGACCTCAAGCTTCAGCCCTGATATTTTTGCAAGCTCTTCCAAGTTGATTAACACCACTTCCTTTGAGGAGGTCAAAGCTGATGGTTCTTTCTTTGAGGACATTGAACACTCAAGATAAGTAGGTGGGGCCTTAACCATCCGTTCCATGCACCTCTGCACTCTTCTTTGCAAGACTTTGTTGTTTGCCTCCTCTTCACTGAACTGAGCAAATTACATGGATCTTTTCACAGAACACTGGAGACCTCTGGACCTTGAACCATGCAAGTTCTCAGCAGCAAGGGTTGTTCTTTCACAAGCCGTGACCGCGCATCCTGGTTGTACTGATCCAACTGCAAGCGTTGACGTCTTCATTGTTGTTGTTGTTGCTGCTGCTGTTGCTTTCCCCCCTCCTTCTTCATGGTGTTCTTTGTTGCAAATCGCCAACCCCAACCCCACTCCTGATTCAGCACGCGCTTCCATGCATCCCTTGGTAATTGACCGGATCGATAGTGCTATTGGGAGTACAGTGCTAGCTCTGAGGGGCGCTGGCATGCTTGTATTCATCTTCTTCTTGCTGATATTGCTCATTTCAGAGCCAAAATACACCCAAAATACAGCAAAAACTGCTTTTTCTTTCAAAATACTCGGTCGATTGCAACGATACTTCCGCATCAAGTCTACTTTGATGTATTAAGGAGGTTCCGGACACTGGTTGTCTCTGTTATTGAGGGGAAGATGGTTTCTTTTTTGTTACACTATGGAGTTCGTCGTTGGGATTTTTTGGTGAATATTCACTCCTGCAATTGTATTGCTGTTTCTTGTAAACCACTCGGTCAATCGATCCGCTACTTCACGGTCCTCAGGCCCCCTTATTGTAAGGATTACAACGCTTGTCTTGTGAGCGCAATTGGTTGGGTATTGATAAAGATCTGGAGGAGTGACAGCTTTGCTTTTTGGAGGTTGCTTTAATGAGTTTTTTGGAAAATTCTGTGCGCTCAGAAATCAACAAGCCCAAAAAGGTTCTCTGACAGGAAACATACAATATGGACATGTATTGAAAGAGGAGGGAAAACCCTTGATGGATTCTCTAATTCTGATTGGTGCTTTTGCGTGAGTTAACAAGCATGCAATGTTAGCAAAAAACTGGCGCGTTTTATGCACTCATAACCTGTTAGGAATCGATAGTCTTATTTCGCACCCAAACTGGTACGTACTGGTACTTGTACTCGTTACTCCTGGCCCTACAATCTACAATAATCTACAATAAAGAGTACCATAAGTGCGAGTACCCTACGTACTATATGACTCCTCCATATGCCGTTGTACAGTAAGGTACGTACTACCCTCTACCGTATGTTGAAACTCATGAATTCCTCTTCCTATTTTTGAGTCATAACCGGGCTTATGATTATGCAATACCAGTAGTCGGCCACGCTTTCAGCGTTCTAAGTGATTTTGGATTCAACAAGGAATTTACGGAATTTGATCGAGACTTCCCGTTTCATGTCCTTTGACCTCTATGGTGCTACACTACTACATACCATACGTACCTTTGGTAGAGCAAATAATACAGTACTAACATTATCAATGGGTCATTCTGTTATTGTTCTAAATCACTGAAATTGCTAAATCTAGTGATCTAGAGTTTTAGAATGACAGGAATCAACAATGGACAGACTGCAAGAAATGATGGCTTCATGTCAGTCTTTTTGGGAATTTGGAATCTTACTAGCTATCTATTTTAATGTAGACCTGCTAGTACTACTAGTAGTAGAGTACTCCTCCTGCTGTACCAGCAGCACCAGTAGTGAGGACTAGCTAAAAAGAGGGCATCATTCTTGTTGGTTGGTGAGCAACTCTGGGACTAAGAAAAATATGAAATTTTCAATCCTGGACTCAAAAGGTTCCACTCTGCAAGAAGTAGTAGCCCAATTGAAAGAACCAGGATCTCCTAAATCTAGAGCCACATTTTATAAATTTTCAGTCTGTCCCGTCAGTCTATCAAATCTACTAAGAGTTTTTAGAATAATGGGAACCACCCATTAGTATTGCACAGGTCATGTTGACATGCCACCAATACAAAAATGAACTTTTTGGAAGCTTGAGTTTTGGCCAGTCAATGGTCATAATTATATAGTACCACTAGTGGGGGTGCTGTGCAGCAGCCCTCTGGAATTCATGTGCCACCCCTGGTTCCCCATATCAAAATAAGTCTGCAAAATGCATCTTTGCATGAATCTGTTCAAATTCCATCATATGCATAAGGTTATCATAGTAGCAACCAAGCCAAGCTGAACTCTATTGTTTTCTTCCCACTAGTTTTAGTAACAAGCACTCTCGCTAAGGCTTAAGCTACAACCACTAGTAAAGTACTAGTACTACTAGTTAGTATAACTTATGCAGGAAAGGATTTTCTCATGTATAAGTAACCTAGTAGTAATGAAAAAGGGCACTACCAGGATATGGATCAAGCAAAGCAAAAAAGACTAGTGAGAGTATTAATGCAAATGTTTTTGAACAGCATCACCATTTCTAGTATTAATCTTGTTCCTCTTCTGCCTCTCTTTCTCCTCCTCCTCTTTGATAGATTTGTAATGTTCATCCTTTGATTTTACCAATTCAAGTGATTGTGCTGCTTTAGTATTTTGTATGTATTTGAGTTGATCAACTAGTCTTGTTCCTCTTGTCTGTAGATTTAGTAGTGTGAGAAGTGTTTTCAATGCCATGTTATTTTTGAAGGAGGACAAAGAAAGAGGAAGTTTACTAGTAGAGGCACTGGAAACAATATTTATGATAAAGATAACATCTACAACCAAGTTCAATGTCCTTGAAGCAACATTTTCTTTCTCCCCTTTGCAGTAATAGCCCAAAAATTTAGCTTTGGATTCTTTGGATCATGCAGTAGTTCAAGCTTCTATGATTGAAGCAGCTCTCCAACTACAGTACTAAAGTGAAGCCAGAAGTTATAGCAAGAAGCTCTCTTTTTTATAACTTGAGCCTTTGCTCTTCTTGTTTCTTTCCTTTCTAGGATAATGAAGTTTTTCCTTGACACCATGGCTGATATTGCGAGAGCTGGAGCCTATTGAGACTATTAGGAGAAGTAATATTATATCATTCTTTTAAGTGTGTAAAAGATGTTGGACCTCAAAGATTTGAATGCAGCCAAGCAATGAGGATGTTTGAATTGGGCAAAGTGTGTTGTTTGGTACTTCTACTACTCAGTGCTGCACCTATCTACTATTCTTGCTTGGTAACTTTTTTCTGTAGTTTTTCTTTTTTCACATTTTCAACATTACCAAACAATAGGTTGTTCCTTTTAAACTAAACAGTTTATTTTTGACAGACCACTGACAGAACAAAAATGATTAACTAGCCCAAAATCTAATACTTCGTAATTCAGTAATGGGCCTCAAACCCCCTCTACCCCTTCTATGGAAAATCAAAATTTAGAAACGTACTAAGGAATGAATTTGTAGCACCAGCAAAATATGGTGGAGTTGTAACCAGTTATTTGGTTTAGCTAGATTCCACATTCCTTCAATAATAGCTTCTAGGTGTGTGTACCCCCAGAAGTCTGTCTATTGCAAAAGTGGTCCCCTTATTCAAAGCAATCTGAAGTAGAAATTCAGATTGATTAGGTTAGCGGAAATGGCCTAATGATAAGATAGGCCAGGATTTTGGGAAGAATAATAATACAATTGAATCGGCTTTTGTAACGAAGTTTCAAAATCTTTCAAGCATTGAAAAATGTATTTACTTTATTTACATGCATATTATCAACGTCCCAGAGAAAAAAATCACTATTTGTGGAATCTACATGTTCAGTCCGCATTACGCGAAAGAATTACTCAATAATTCATTTCTTCGACTGAAAGATTGGATGGAGTATGAATGATGCTCTACGCTGATCCAGCCAAATGAAAACCCATCCCAACCGATACCTTCCTAGCGCAAGCGGCGTTTCAAGTGCATAATCCGGACAACTCTGTCAGTTCAGATGAATTTCTCTAAGCCATCGCCTGACGTGCATTTCTTCATCTTTCCGAAAGAATGGATCTTTCAGCGTAACATGATTTGTGAATCAGGTAGGTGAATTCTTCTCGTCGGCCGGTCGCGCGTTCTGGATCCTTCGAATCAAATCACTAGTTGATAATCCTTGAGTTCGGGGTAATGGGCGTGCTATCCCCATTTCTCGAGGGACTCTATAGTACGGATCGTCTTTTGGATCCGGAAATCTCTCTAGGTATTCTTGTCCATAAGCCACAACATGGATTTGGTGCAAATCCAAGAATTCCTTCGTCAGTCCCCAACATGGAGCGTCCGGAATGACTTTTGTCACGGCCTTGCAGGCTTCAACTTCCGCACATCGTTCCGCAGACGACATAATTGGGGGACGCTTATATGCGTTTGCATCTTTATCGCCTACGACTCCCACGTATAATCTGTTTCCATAGGTCAACGCATTCTGAAACAACATTTTGTGGCCAACGTGACATAAATCGTAGATTCCGTCACAGTACACATTCCGGCAGGTCGTCAGCAAAGGGAGATTCAGGTAGGCACATAAATCCGCAAAAACAGCAACGTAATAGGTAACGACCAGCGCCAAAATTGTCGAATGCGAAAAAACGGCGGCCAAGGACATGAGAACGACCCACGGATGAATCTCTCGCCCTCCCATTTTGGCCAGCGTTAGATCACTCGTGAGAACGGCCATGAATAAGCCGTCACAAATCACATCAGCCATTCCCACGACGGGGACATCTCCTCCTAATGATTCGGTGTCAAGTCCACCAATATCACCGCCAACACGGATGACGTCATCAGAGTGAAAGTAGAGGAGAGCCGGAATCAATCGCATTAATAAAGATGCAGATAAACCAAATCGACTCCATCCGTGTGGATCTTTTAGCAGCAAAGTTCGGGTCACTGCCAATAAATACATAGAATAGTACGCATACTTTACCAGGAGGAAGGGTGTTATGCTGTTGTATGTCTTGGTAATATCATCGACACCAACGTATTCACCAATGTGGTTTTCAACTTTCAACAAGGAGCTTTCGAAGGCCAATCGAGTATATTCCCACAACCAATCGAATCCTATGGTAGCCCTAAAGAAAAGGAGAGATACCGCTGTAAAAATGACCTCGCCTGGTCCACTGAAAAACCTATATCTCAAACCGGCCTGTCTATCAAACGCCGACAAGTGTTTGACGAACAGCACGAGCTGCGTGGTTTGTACAGCGTACCATTGGATTTCCAACATTGTGTCTACAGAGTTTCCTTTTTCGTCATCCTTTATTCTCCCACCTAGGAGACAGTAGATCGTCAATACACACAAAAAGACAGTAGCGGCCGAATCGGTTGCGTATTTGAAGAAATCTCCCAACGGTGTTCTTTGCCGAATTCTATCAGCGTGGACCAATACCATCGAATTGACGGCAAAAAATACTGTAATCACCATTGCGGCAAAGAAAGGATATCCTGGTCCGGTGGGAGCACCTCCATAATGATAAATCACGTACCAAGCTTGTCCCAGCAGGCCCAGACCGGCCAGGCACAAGACATTGGGCGCGACGGTGTTTGGGATTTTTCTGGACAAAAAATCCCACAGGGGCCTCAAGATTCTACCGCTCAGGCTTTTATCAGCAATTTTTTCCTTCCATTGACCAAATCGATACTTCTCTGGGGTAGTCAGGAACAATTCCAACCAGTTCTCAGTCGTCCTAACGACTACGTTCTTAGAAGAGGAGGCCAAGTCGCTGTAGCTATTGGATTTCCCGTTTGTTGTCCCGTTCGATGACGCTTCAGACATGGTGAAGATCCTGTCTGAATGCAATTTTTACAGGAAAGTGGATTGTGCTTGAAAAGTACTAGCGATGACTCTGGGCTCTCGTGTTGGGGTTTGTTTGTGTCTACCTTTGCGACGATTCGTTCTATGACGGGCTCCAGGAAAAGACATAAATTGTCTTCAAGCAAGTGATCATCAGTACAGAATGGACGTTCTCGTACGTTGCCTATTATGGTACGTACACAGCGCTAAGAGGGCCTGAAGCCTGAAGAGCGTTTCACTAGGAGTACGAGTACCAGGTACAAGTACCCTACCGTACTCAACGCAGCTAGATGCAAAGTGAGCAAAGTCCATCATTTTTTAACTACGTACCGTACGGTACGGTACCTCAATGCTGTACCGTACGAACGTTGTTAAGTACGGTAGAAGCAGCATGTACGGTACTCTTCGAAAGGAGGACCAGTACCTATCGTACTTACACACTTACAGTACCACCGGTACGAGTACGGTGCCAGAGTGGTTCCCATTTTTTAGAAGCGTCTGTCCATCTTCGGTAAGAAGGTGCTCGTGCCAGTGCAGAGAAAACTAAAATCTACTGTAGTACTTCCTCCGGTCCACAAGTGTATACAGTTTTCACGTTTACTACTGAAATAAGCAAAATAATAGGGCAATTTGGATGGTTTTTTTTTGTCATACTGATCTTATCCAATTGTATTTTAATGTGCTATTATGCATAAGAGTTGTGCTGTTAAAGAGATTGGAATACGCCTTCAAACAGAGCACTTTTAACACTAGTACTACTACTAGTATGTATTTCATTTTGCTGGTTGTTGAAAGGGGGGGGGGGGNGGGGGGGGGGGGGTTCTAACACGTCACACAAACAGGTTCTATGGTATGTTGCTTTTCCTGGGTACATAAAATAATATTCGCGCATGTTTTTTGTGATGCTCGTACGCAAATATCTGGTTCTCGAACCACTCATTTCTCATGTGGAGTTCTATGCCCTTTCTCATGCTCAAAATCAATTCTTTTTCATAAAAAAATATCATCGTATTCGGAGACGAATTGTCTCAACCAGTCAAAAAGTACCATGTGTTGTCACAAAAATATTATTGCTACTTCATTAATTCCTCTGGTCGGTTTCAAATTCCTCTTTCCTGATGCCAACTCTTCGGCGCCCAGCAACAATTTCTCTATTTCTATCGACAAATTTATTTCACAATGAAGCTATTCTACTATCTAATTGCAAGGGATCATGAAATTCTAAAAGTTTCGTGCCGCTTTGTTGTTATTTTTGTATCCACTACGTTTTGTTATAATTAGTACTGCCGGGGTTTTCATACAGCCCGTATCTTTGACTTCAGTTCATTTAAGTCATTATTGTCCTCCCAGTATTTTTTCGGATCAAAATTTTTCTCCATTTCGCACAACTTTCTTTTTTATTAATTCTATCCTCCCCGTCATCTCCGTTTTCTCTTCTGTACGTTGCCMTTAAGGCTTGTTCAATCTCCGCTAAAGCCTCTTCCTCTCTTTGCTTCTTTACCTCTTCTACTAACTTCCCAAACAGTATCGTATAGAGTAGGCCAGCTAATGTACGGTCCCAGTCGTAGATTACAGACTATCTAATTACCGTGTAATGACTCGTGGGATTAAAAATTTAACTTGTACTACCGGTACAGTGGGGCACATGCTGAATTTTTGAGTCCCACAAGTGTGCGACCAAATAGTTTCGCGCGCACGTGCTCAACCAACAATTTTGGCTTCGAACACATGCAAATTTTTAATCCCACGAGTTGCTTTCACGTGCATGCTGTAGGCCTAGTACAAGTCAAATTTTTAATCCCACGAGTCATTACACGGTGAAAAGATGGCCCAAAATCCACGCACAGTACAAAAACTCATTCGAACAGCCATAACTTTTTCCCCAATGGACGCTTCAGTATGATAAGCACATGGTTAAAAAGAGAATTCAAAGAGCTTTCGAATGCGGTGGGGGAGTACGACATCCGACAAATATTGACTGATATACATTTACGTATATATTGAATTGCTAATGTACAACTGGTGCGTCTTTTTTTGCTTGGCCAATGCTATGATACGTCCCTCATAGCTCCAGCCTTCTTTGTTACCTATCGTACTATCGGGGGTGAATTGCTTTCTGGTTTTCTTTCCACTCCCTGAATTATTCCATGATTCGTAGTCATTGTACAAAAACAGCAATGAGAAGGCTTCGTCTGTTGCAGTGAAAATGGAGCTCAGTTTATCCTTGTGTCGCCTTTGCTTGAATTCCGTTTGTTTAGGGGACACTGCCCCTAAAATCCTTGTTAGGAAGTCTTGAATTCTGGACTATTTTCTCATCTGTAGCTACTTCTCAGCACGTACGTCTCTCCTCCATCTCCTTCTGCTATGAAACTATTGCCAGAGAACGTGTCTGGTACTACTTCGTTCCTTTTGTCTTCTGTAGTACTTAACAAACAGAGGTTGATGATTGTGAGTCACAAAGTCTCTCAATTGTGTCTGATGTTGTGAATGCACTTGTACTGGTTATGCTTACCCTTGTAATTTTTCCTCACCAATGTCTGCGCGTTGTGTCTGCATGCAGTGATAGCACCGTTGATAGTCCCTCCCCACCTTGCCGCAGTGACAACCAAGGTATCTGGAACTGGATCTGTACCAAATGCAGTTTCGAGGTTGACTGCTATGATGGCATCTAAAATGCCATCTTCCACGGGAAACTTTGTGTGCTTGAAAAATCTCTCCTTAACGTATGTCACCAGATTATTCTTCATGACTGTCTCATGCTGGTTTTTACGTTTTTGTATTTTTCCAATGACTGTGTCTTCTTTACGTCCATCTTCATTGTATGTTTCCTCAACCATCTGATGCTCTGTTTTTACTCTCTATGATAGATATATCAGCTCCTGTAGCTCAAACAGTGGCAAAAAGATGCGTTTTGATCAGCAGTTCTCAATCATATTGAATGTTGCAATTAAAACAAGATGTTTACCTCTCATGATCCAACAACTTACCTCTCTAGTAACATCTACCTATGATGTGTGATCATGTGTCTGATGTACTAGTAACTCTTTTGTTATTTACAACTTTATGGCAAATTTTTCCTGTGATGTTTATTTCGTTTTCTGACTTCACGCCAGGAAATCTTGGGTGTTTGTTGTTGCCCGCCACGTATATTCTCAGGCCTTGGTATGAATATCAGGTTTGGGTCCAAAATATTCTGGTGCAGCTCTTGTAAGATTTCCTATGACTTGGTACATCCTGTACATCAATACTGGTTGAAGTGAGTACGCATGTAATCTTGTGATATGTTGGATGATTCCCGTCCACAAGTTTTCATGTTCAATAACCATGTTTAGTATCTTKGTTTTGGACCGATCGTACCTATCTATCTACTATCTACTATTGATACCAATGAATCATAGTAGTACATGCACCATCCTAATTTGAACCGTTTCTTCTGACACTTTTTTTCTTATTCCTTTTGCAAAATTCAAATTTGAATCAATTCCTCATTTGAATTTCTGGTTGGAACGCCAACTCAAAATCCCACACTAATGCAACAATGATCCATGTTTCCGGTCTTGTCCATTTATTTTATACTTTGTCATTTCGTTCAACTGAAAACCATGGTCAACTTTGAAATTTCTTACCACTTGTGGCGTTGTGCACCTGCTCCAAACCATGCAGTACCAAAACCTGGAACGGCGTTCCAGCTTTTGACAGCATGTCACCCAATCCGTAACAAACGGAAAAATTAAAAAAAAAACTCTTGTGCTAGCAATAGTGTCTTTTGATGATCACAAACACTGATTTCCTTCATGAAATTCACACTCCATAAAAAGCCGCAATCGCTTCTTTATGATTTTGATTCACAATTGTCTTGCTGAAGTCTCCGTCTGTGTCAATTAAAAGTCCCATTTCACCATGAGTAACAATGACTGGCAGTCATTTTGATATGCCACCACTTGCACTAAATAGCAAAGAGTAGACAATTTATGAGGCCATACTTCATAATAGTATGGCTAGCTTTCTTATATAGGTCATTTGCATTTAGAAGAGGTACACTGTACCATTATCAATATATTGTTTCACGTTTTAAGAGACCGCCATTTAATTTCATGTTCAAAAATAATTTTTATTCATGCGCATGCCCATATTTGGTATATAGTACGTATTGTACACATTTCACACAGTCATTCCACAGTCATTTGTGGAATAGAACTGCCAAAAAAATTTAAAACCATTAGTTAAAAGTGGAGACACATATACAGGACCAGTAAAATAGGCTCACAATGACACACTTAGTGGACTGGAGGAAGAAGTAAGTTAATTTAACATTCCTGATGTTAGAAATAGCATTCCAAATGTTGTTTTAGCATTAGGAACGCGAGTATGTCATCATAGGCCTAGTAGGCCTATGCCTATATAGATCGTAGTATCCCAATAATCTGCATTCTTCAATGTGGTAGAGCGCTACTACCTTGTTCCCAAAAGAATTATTTGGGTCTTTTTGTTGTTGTACTACTACATACTTAAAAAAAGGAAGAAGAGGATGTCTCCCCTGCTAACATTCAGACTGTTAAGCAGAGCATTCAGAACCTTAAATTCAAGCAAATTCTGCAGTACTCATTTATAGCCCTACCCTGTTAACATTCACCAGAATGTGAAATTAATGTTCCTGATGCCTCAATTAAAGTAATTTCAATTGTTGTCTCATGTGTACTAGTATGGATTTTATGGTTGGAACACTACTATGTTTTGTATTAATGGTTGAAACGCCACTGTATTTTGTAACAATAGAATATGACCTTGCCAGTAGGGGTGTGCTGCAATGCAATGGCATTTGAAAAACACTGTTATGACAACAACTTTTTTCATCCCTGACCATTTTATAAGAAATACCACACTTGCTAGTAGTCCCATACCACCACTAGTAGTATGCTTATGCTATTCACTAGTTATTCAACAATGTGAACATTTGTTTCTCATACTGCCTGATCCAATTTTTCAGCTACATACAAAGTCCTTCCTGCAATATACTCAGGATCAAACTTAGTGCTTAGTAGTAGTTCACTGATACTAATCCTCTGTGCCCTACTACTAGTACTACTAGGTACTAGTAGTAGTAGTAGTAGTAGTAGTAGTAGTAGTAGTAGTAGTAGTAGTAGTAGTAGTAGTAGTAGTAGTAGTAGTAGTAGTAGTAGTAGTAGTAG